AGCATGCGAAACACACACGCACACACACACACACACACACACACACACACACACACACACACACACACACACACGGTCCACAGAAAAAACCTCTCTCCATGGAACGGGTCCCTGGTGCCCAAACAGTTGTGGGCCACTGATCTAGGATGCTCACAGTTTCCCAGTTGAAACTATGGTCAAGTCTGTCTATGTGTGGTTTTATGTCTTCTGTCTCGAGTTGGTGTTCATGGATACACTCCACTAGTCGTCTGCCTCTTTGTCCTACAATAGTGTCTGTTACAGTCCTTACACTGTTATGTTGTAGATGACTCCTATATTTTCATCTGGGGCTGCTGGCTCTTCCAACAAAACGGATACCCAACTTTATCAAAAAGTGCCTTTATCACTCAAACTACCATAGCTTAGCCAACTCAAGCTTTGAAAAGAATGTCATACATCAAAAACCACCAACACTCTATTACATGTTAAATTTATATTTTACCGACAAAGAAATAAAGGGAGACTAGCATAGATTTATTTCATGCTATTTAGCTCTTTTCAGCTAGCAATAGTCTTTCTGGGATTCGAACCCGGGCTACCTACATATTAGGTAGGTGTATTAACCTCTAATCCATGGGCTCTCCTCACTTTGTTGGCTATACCACTTACTCTATTTACTCTATTACATGGCATCAACCATCGCACACAAACCAACTAAAGTTCTCCAAAACAGCTTAAATAAACTGAAAGATCCAGCAGCCACAGAAAAAAACAGGAATCATCTACAACATAGAGTGTAAAGACTGTAAAAACTATAACCCTACTCCCTTCTAGCACTGATTATGTTACCTAGTTTGATAATGAAATGTCTGCAAGAAACTCACCAAGCACAACCAACATAATTACATTTTGTTACAATATGACCAAAATTTTGGCTGATCTAGGCGCCACAATAAATTTCTTGCTAGTATGAAACAAAAAAGTTTCAATTTCTATGTCATCTTTTTTTTAATATAGTTGCTATATTTTTTAAAAGAAAATTAAATACATTGCATATTCAGTGTGACCTTGAGAAACCAATTCCCATATGGAAGTAACCCATATTTAGATCCATACCAACAAAGTTGAGATTTAAAAAAAAAAAAAACCACTGCTGCAGAGTGTGAAATGTGAAATGTGTATGTGTGTGTGTATTTTTTTTTACTATGGATGTTTGTACTTTCTATAGAAGCTTCCAAAATTTTAGATTTCTGCTGCATAAAAATAAAAGTAATAATAAACAAAAAAGAAAGAAGAAATTGACATAATAATAGTTATACCGTGTTTCCCCAAAAATAAGCCCGGGTCTTGTTTTCTTTTGCCCCCCAAAATAACCGCTTGGCCTTATTTTCGGCCAGTTCTTATTATTTTTGAGATGCAGGAGGCCCCTTAACTTCAGCCCATGGCCTGTGGATCAGCTGATCGAGAGGGCTGGAAGTTCTGCATCTGTTTCTGGCACACTGTTGCCAGCCATGGCATTGCTTGGCCTGCCACTCTTTTTGCACCCACTACTAAGAAAAGGGGCGGAGTAGCTAGGGTTTGCAAAAGCAGCCTCCATGAGGCCGTTCCACATAGATGACAAATGCATGTGGGGCACGTGGGGCATGTGTCCCCCCCCCCAGTAAATGGTGGGGACCAGCCACATATGCGTTTAAATATTTTCGGGGAGGGCTTATTTTAGCACATGCACCCAAAAGCCTGATTGGGCTTATTTTCCGGGGAGATCTTACTTTCAGGGAAAGAAGGTATTATATATTAATATAAAATTGGTAGAAAAACAATGCAAGACATTATGAAATTCAACTATAAGAAACAATGGAAATACCAATAATATTAGTCAGAAACATTTCCTCTTTTCCAAATAATATTAATTGTTCTTTTAGTCATACATTTATTATATTTATTAAAACAATACAGCAATAACTCTGTCATACTGTAACAGTATTTCTAGCTACACAATTCTGTGTGATATCAGAAAATACATCTTTTAAAAACTGCAAATCTTAACAGCTTTAGCATGATTAATTTTACCTATATTTTTGTTCATAGATAATCTTGGAGGAGAATTTGCGTCCTCCGATTCTTCTGATGAGTGAGCCAAGAAGTCATGAAGCTTCTGCACCAATGTATTCAATTTGCTTTCACTGTTAAAAAAAGACAGACCATTGAATATATCCCTTTTGGCATTACAGAATGAAGCAAGAGCTCTGTATCTCAATCAAACAAACAAATCTGATATGCATAAAATAGGGGGGAATGGGCTGTTCAGAGAATGGGGAAAAATAGTCACATTCAAAATGTTCTTTTGGAAGTTTAGAATATTCCCTGTTATGGCAAAAGATTTTTTTTAAATTATACTACCAAGAAACAATGGAAACAATGGAAACTTAAAATAAGCTTTCCCCTCCCCCATATTATTCAGTCCATGATCCCAGAAATATAATTACCTGTTACTGAATCTACAAAATAGTTATTTGTTACAATTAACTTTAGCCAAGGTAATGACTTTTTAAAATAAATGTTAAACAATGTCCAGACTGCAAAAGTTTGCTTATTTCTATTTAACTATCACTTCTATTGCTTGCAATTAGGTTGCAATATTACTCTATTGGCACATATTTTTATACAACAATCAACAAATAACATTTAGCATGAATTATCATACCACTTATTTTACACACTTCTTAGTATGCAAAATGAGAAATTAGGGCTTGCATGTGAGTTAGCATTCTCTATGGAAGGAGATGCAAAATAAAATGCTTGTCCTTATCTAAGGAATGTTTTATTTCAAATTCAGAACCCTCAAGGTTTCCAAGCTGACAATGTTTTCTATTTTCCTAGTAGAAATGATCACTTAGGCACCTCTATCTGTTGACATCTATATATTTAATCAGGCACTTAATACTTCATTTACATATTGGCTTTATTTAAACATTTTATTTAAATAATTACTTATGTAAACAATTTGTATGGTGACCCATCTTGAACACAATACTGAGCAGTTAACAACAAGAGCCATAAAACCAAAAATCTGGCCTCAGAGAATACAGAAGAACAGAGTTGGACTAATGTCAACTTCCAAATACTCTTCAAGGGTAGCCCTATGTAGAGCATGTTGCAATAATCCAAACAGGAGATGACCAAGGCATGAGTGACTGAGTGCAGTGTCTCACAATCTAGAAAACGGCATAGCTGATGCACAATCCAAATTGTGCAAAGGCTCTTCTATTCACAACTGCCAGCTCCTCTTTGAGCAGGAACTGTGAATCTAGGAGAACCCCTGGGGTAGGGTCATCCCATCCAGAACTAAAGAGTATAAAGCTCCCCATATCGGAAGTTATTTGTCTTATTTGGGTTCACTTGAACCCTGCTGTCCTCAATTCAGACCTGCGGTCTCCATGCACCCCAAAAGGGCTGCCCTAGCATCCCTTGGATCATAAGGGATAGAGATGGAAAGCTGTGTCTTGCCAGCATTTCTCATCCCATGGAGTTGGATGATCTCACTCAGTGGCTTCATGAAGACGTTGTAAAGGAAGGGAGAGAGATCCTGCAGACAAAGGAGCAGCCGTAAGCTGGATCTCTCACTCCCAGCTGTGGAGAAAGGAACTAAACCAGTGCAACACTGCCCCACCCAGTCCTAAACCCCGAAACCACTCCTGGTTATTCTGTCCCATAACCAGGCCTGAAACCTGACTGAAGGGAGTCTAGATAATCTGTACCATCCAAGACCCTCTGGAGCTGCAAAGCAATCACTTTCTTCATCACCTTCCCTAAAAAGTACAGTGAGATCTAAAGATCTGTTCTTAAGGAGTGATCACAGCCTACTTAAAGCGTATAATATTAATCACTACACACCATCTTGGAAGCTTTCACTAACCAGGAGGGACAAGGATCTAATAAGTGGTTGTGCTAACAACCCCAAGGACCCTCCTCCATTTCCTCAGATTAAACTGCTCCCAGATAACAGGGCAAGCCCGTACCCTGGACATCTCTGATGGAATTGCTCCACACTTGGACTGGAGAGTGAATCAGAGCAATTTCATCTGTCAGATATTTCACAAAGTCCTCAGTTCAGCCCTGAAGGTGATTCTCCGAACCCTCCTTCTCGAGGGAGCAGGTAACTTTGAACAAGGCCAATAGGCAACACTTTGCAGGTGCAATAAGTGCAGAGAAATAATGGTATTTTGTTGTTCTTCCCACCACAATGTTGGCCTTAGTAACAGCTCTAACCTGTTTACAAAGCCTTAGTAAGACCATACTTGAAATATTGCACAATATAAAAAAGATGTTGAGACTCTGGAAAGAGTTAGAGAAGAACAACAAGAATGAGTAGGGGGCTGGAGGCTAAAACATATGTGAAGAAGGGTTGCAGAAACTGGGTATTTCTAGTCTAAGGAAAAGAAAAATAGGGGTAACATGATAGCACTGCTCCAATATTTAAGGGGCTCCTACAAAGGCCAGTGGATCAAACTATTTTCCAAAGCATCAAAAGGAAAGTCGAGAAACAATGGATGGAAACTAGTCAAGGAGAGGAGCAACTAAGGAGAAATTTCCCAATGATAAGAGCAATCAAACAATAGGACAGTTTGCCTTCAAAAGTTGTGGATGCTCTTATCACTGAAGGTTTTCAAAAAGACTTTTAAAAAAGAGACAACCATATCTGAAATTGCATGGGGTCTCCTGCTCGAATAGGGGGTTGGACTAGAACACCTCCGTGGTGTCTTCCAGCTCTACTATTTTACATTCTATGTTCTGTATTTGCTCAGATTTGTTTTCTGTTTCCCCCCAACAACATTCAAGCAATCTTTTTGGCCCTTTTAGGCATTCTGACTTCCTCCATGAACGACAGGGAATGTTGGGACTGATGGGCCAGGAGATGTTCATGGTGTGGCTACTTCCTGTTTCCAGATTGTGGCCAGAACAGTATTAAGTATCTGGGGGAGCAGATAACTAACAATCCAATTATCTTGTTTATCTTTACTGAAGGATGCACTTTTTACAGAGGCACAATTGAGAGCATTTAACAAACTGCATTATTGTTTGGTTTGGTAGCTGCAGTACCTCAGATAGAAAGTCCCAGTGGTGGGTTCCAGATCCCATTGCAACCGGTACGGTGCAACGGGGCCCGGTGTCCAACTCATGAATGTTGCAGCATGCGCGCACACCTCCTTACCTTTTGTGATACCTCCGTGACACTCCAGCTGCTCGGCAGTGTCGCACAGGTGCTATGCGCTCCATGCACAGAAACACCGAAGAGCTCAAATACAGGTAAGGAGCTCTGGCGGGCAAGTGGGCCCTCTGGAACACCATACCGGTACCCGGTGCTCTGGGCAGGTACTGGTACACCCGTACCGGGGCGTACCGCCTGCAACCCACCACTGGAAAGTCCATACAGAGAGTGGTAAGGGCAACCAAGATGATTATAGGAAGCTCAATTCCTGTTATTCAGGATACTGTCTATAAGCACTATGTACTTAGAACTTGAAGCATTGTTAGAGACCCCACATACCCACTTTACGGTCTGTTTACGTTGCTCCTCTCTGGGAGGAGATTTCAAAGTATTTCTACCAGATTCTGTAACAGCTTTGTTCTTTGTGCCACCATATGGTAAACTCATAGGATTCATTTTTCATGCCATGCACATGTATACATCCAAACTAGACTGTTGTTTCTCTGTGCCATATATGTGTGTGTATGTGGGTATATGCATAATGGCTAACTTTTGAGAGCTGAATGAAACCAACAATATCCATTGATAAAATAGATTTGCACTTGGTGACTATCATAAAAGCAGTTGTAAAATCAAGATCAAATTTTGGATTCAACTGTGGTTTTAAGTTGAGGACTATATGTGTCCTAGTGTGTTGTATAGTAGTGTATACTTCAACTCTATCATATGACTAAGTTGAACAATGGCAGCTCTGGTCTCAGACACACTTAACATTTAACAAGCATGATTCCTTATTTCAATAACTATATAGATTAGGAGAAAAATATAGTCCAATATATTTTCCTTAATCGGGCTACTTAGCTTCTAAACATGTCACCTGAGGATATTATTTCCAAAACTTTATACCAATTGTATAAATAAAGAACCATTTCATTAATTTGCAAACTGTTCCGTATTCACATAAGATAATAATAATCTGTCAGAAAAGTTCAGAATTTTTAGAAAATAGCAAACTATGCAGTTTAATGTTGATACTTTGAAAAATTTAGACCAAATGATATAATGATTTGTAGGCATCTCAAAAACACAAATGATTATTAGAAATCAGCATGTATTTGTCAAGAACAAGTCTTTTTAATTAGGCAACTTTTTCAGTAAAAATGATGTAAACATAATATATCAATAAATATTTTAAAAATTACTCTGATATTCCTCTAAATAAGATGTATCTGTTAGAGGAATTTACATAGAACTTCAAAAGACTATTAAAAGAATCCTCATCAACAGCTCCTCATCAAATTTGAGGGAGGTATTAAGTCAGATGCCACAAAGTCCACAATGTCCAGCACTCTACAACATTTTCAATAATGATCCAAATGGAGGGAATGTTTTACTAAATTTTTACATGATACAAAACGGGATGAAACAGCACTTTTACAAGACAGAAGCAATATTCAAAATTGTTTTAACATAGAAAACAAAATGAATTTTGAGACGCAAATGCAAAGTTCTTACCAACCTATATAATGCAGTGATATAAAGTGAAGAAAACAAAGCTTGGTAATAGTATATATATTTTAAAAAATCCTGAAGTTGTCCAAACTAAACATGAATCAGCAATGCAACATGGATACTAAAAGAGTAAATGCAAGTTTAGGTTGCATTAACATAATTATAGCTTTCAGGTTAAAAGAAAAATGTTCCATTATATTCTATCTTGATCAGATGCTGTCAGAAATACAATGTCCAGTTTTTGGAGCTACAATTTAAGAAATATTCACTAAAACTAATGCAGTTCCAAAGGAAAGTAATCAGATTTATCGGGGATTGAAATCTGCCATGAGAAATGATTAAATAAATTCTGCTTATGCTTGGGGGGAAATTCTGAAGGTTCACATCTTACCATTTTTCAAGTACCTAAAGTAATATTAGTCAGAAGAAATGTCATCTTCCGCAAGTCAGGGAATATTTTTCTCAAGATAGAGGAAGATATTTGAATTTTAGGAAAGGCTTTCTAAAAAGAATTAAGCAATGAAGTAGCAAGCTTCCTCTGCTGGATGTTTTCAGATGAAGGTGGATATGCATCTGTTTGTTTGTTTTTTAAGTTTTTTTATTTTTAATTTTCAAAGCGCTGACAGGAAACAAACACAACACATAAAATCTTCCTTTTTACATACTGTAGAAAGTGTATTAGTTGATTACAAAAGACTTTCATGCATCTCTTCCACAGTCATCAAGCATAATTCACATTAACTCAAGTATTTTAACTCAGATATTTATACATGTTACCGTCATCATACCTCCTTTTTTATTTGACTATAATTGTTTAAACGTCCCATCATAAAATACACCAAGATTTAATACATAGCCACATATTGGCATT